ATTAGGAAGAGTGGTAAAACTCTTGTATTTCTAGGTAAAAATCTTTCTAATGATTTCTAGTTTGTAAATCATGTTTAGTCTTGGTAAATAAAGGCTGGGAAGAGGATTTCTTCCTGTTTTAACTCTGTTCTTTTTCTTGCTGGTTATCTATCATGTTCTGCTGGTTTTTCTTGAATATGTTTTCTTCTTCATGCCAAATCTATTGGTGCATATGTGCCTCCATTAATTCTGCATTAACTTCAGGATATAAAGAAGTCATTACAGCCCCAACAGTAAATGTACAATAAAATATAGAACAAGTCCCTAATAACTATTTTCTTCAACACCCTCTTGCAAGGTGCAACTCGGAGGGATAAACAGTAATCTTGCTTCACGAATAAGCAAATATGGTGCTTATCAAAGGCTTCATCAAAATATTCGCAACTTGATCTTCAATATACAAAACGTCGAACTCTTAGGTAGAACTTTTTTCACATATAAATTGATATTCCAATAATACAAACTCTAAACCATGTAAATGTACAATAAAATATAGAACAAGTCACTATAACTATTTTCTTCAACACCCTCTTGCAAGTGCAACTGGGAAGAATAAACGGTAAGCTTGCTTCACAAATAAGTCAAAGGCTTCATTAGAATATTCTCAACTTGATCTTCAATTGTTGCATACCAGACGTCGAACTCTTAGGTAGAACCTTTTTCACATATAAAATGAATATCAAACTATAAGTATTTGGTTCTATAGACACTATAGTGTGGTGTGTTGAATTCCTATGGATGGAAGTTTTTATCATGTGGGCTTGCTTAGCTCAGAGGTTAAAGCATCGCATTATGCCCCCAGGCTCGGCTACAAGAACTAAGGTCAGACCTTCGAGTCCCAAAGGTAAACCTTCCGATCCTTCCCTTTGTTAAAGAAATGTCTTGTTTTGGAATGCTAGAGAAGCGTTGAAGTCCTTCCTGAAGTTGGTGCGCAGGAGCATCCTTGCTATACAAGGACTCTTGTATAGGTGATAGACCATACTTGCCACAAGTAATAAATCTTAGAGGCAATTTTTTAATTTGATGAATAGTGAATTACAAAGTCGTATTTACATTTACATAAAATCAGTAGTACTTCCGAACATAAGTTCAAATATTCCAAAAATACAAACTCTCATGTATAATAAATAATAAAATTTAGTCTCAACAAGTTACTATTTTCTTCAACAACTCTCGATGTTGAAAGTCTAGATCTGGTGATTGAAGGTGGTTGTGCTTTTGGTAATGAAAATGGTGATGGGGAATAAGGAATAAGATCGGACATTGCGTGCATGGGGGAGTTTGATTAGAGATTGGCTTTCTTAATGGTGTTGCAATGAAAATTTGGACAATGTAATGGCGATGGAGATGGTGGGAGATTGGCTAATAGTCGCGATGACAGTGACAGTGAAGAAAATGACAAAATGTGTGGAATATACTGTGCTATAAATGATGATAGCTACGACAATGGTCGTGTAAAAAATGACAAAATACGTGTAACATATTATGTTATAAATTATGGCAGTGGTGGGCAATGGTGATAAATGTGTGTAACATAATTTTTTAAAATATTATACTGAATTACAAATTTATTGTGAAAAAGTAAAGAATAAAAAATGTTTAAAAAATAAATATGGAATTGGTAAACTTTACTAATGTATTTGAAAATGGTCCCCTCGTTACATTGAGAAGTTGCATTGGGTCACTCGCAAGAGTCCAGTATATCGTCAGCCTTTGTTCAAACAATATGGGCTTCCCCCATCCATTTTAATTTGCTCATTTTCTGGGTCATTTGGTAAGTAGAGTACGATTATATAGCTTTGACAACCCTTAAAAAGAGTTTTTTTTGGGGAAAATAATTTTTTTCAATAATTTTTTTTAAGAACGTGTAGTTAAAAAGTAGAAAAAAATTGAATTTATGTGCAAAAATATTTTATTGTGAGAATGTATAGTTGAAAATGAGTTTGAGAGAAAAAAAAAATTGTTATAATTGTTCATACATGGGCTTAATAAGAAAATGGCCTCAAACCACGTTCGATTTCATTAATTATGTATTAATTTATTTTTTTTTCAAAAATCAAATAGTTACACGAATGCAACTAACAAGATATATATGAATTATGTCACAATCACACAATTTATAAGCCACAATCATTTATCAAAATATGTCACGGTTGCATACCACAATGGTCACATGCACATACCACCTGATTTTTAATTTTTTACAAGTTTACTAATTTTTAAATTATTTTCTTGAAATATTGTAGTTATTAAATCTTCCCTTTTGTATAATTATTCATATATTTGAGTACCTTGAGTTTTATTGTGAATCCAAAGACGAGAAAAGGTATTGCCCCCTTTATATTTGTTTTCTAATTGAAAATTAGTATAAAAACAATGTCTTAAATTTGAGTTAGCTTCATTAGTTGAAATTCCTAGACAACAACAAAGAGGGCCTAGATTCGAGGGGAGGTTGACTCAAAAACGAGTTGAACCACAAGGGTTAAGACTAGAGATCTTCTTTACATCGAGAAAGAAACTCGTCGATAAAGGATTTCACCTTACACTAACTAAGAAGCAAGAAAGTAAATCCTTAAAAGATGTGTAGAAGAGCAAAACCTACTTCCCTAGCTACTTTCCTTATTAATTTATCAGTATGAATCTTGAGAGTGAATGTTAAGCGATGCCTCCTTCTCCTAGAGGCTCTCCGACCGGGGAGGGGGCTTGCTATAGTAATGTAAATTTGTACACATCACTAATTGATTAGATCACATTGCGTCGCTATTCCATCGTAATGCTTTGTTGAAATTAAATAGTGCGATTCTTTTTAATAGTACCAATTATGATCAGTGTTTGGAAATATTACTTTGACAAAAGTGGTGTTTTGGCATTATTGGCAGCCATTACGTGTGCCCTAAGTACATGGAAAATACGAAGTGATTTATTAAACTAACATTGAAAAAGTCCAAGAAAGAAGTTTGATCATCGGAATTGTACGATATCTGCAAATTAAAGGCTAAGAGCATCTCCAAGAGACCCTCTATTTTTAAAGAGTATATTCTATCATTTGGAGAGCATCTATAAGTATTTAACACTCAATTTTACTATTCCAAAAAAATATTTATTATTTTTTTTATATTTTATTTTAACTAGCTTTCTTCCAAATTATTATATTATTTTCTTTCATTAAAAATTGAAATACTTTGAATACATTTAATTATAGAGAATGAATTTGACTCTCCAATTTTGAAGAGCTAAACTCGCTCTCTAAATTAAAATGTTAATTTAAAGAGTCTCTTGGAAGATGATATGAAGGGTGGAATCTTTAAAATAGAGAGTATCTTATCTTTAAAGAGTTTTTTGGAGATGCTCTTAGCTGCGAATTGCGTTACTAGGATTTTTTCTTTCACCACATGAATGGTTATCTTCTTCCTAATAATTTCCTAATAATTTGAGTGCATTTATCACTCATATTAACCTCGTTTTTTTTTTTCCATCTCACTTCTATGTCTTCATGTATTCACAAATTACAATTGTGATACATATTAGAATTTCATGATTGAAGCTTCTTTTCATTATAATATTCTCTGGGACTTGTGAATCTGCTATACTTTTTTATCACGTGTTAATCAGTCTTCTAACATGAAATTGCTGATTTCATATTGTTATTTTTTCAGATGAAAGTTTCTGTGATGTAGTAGGAAGTCCTTATTATGTTGCACCGGAGGTTTTGCGCAAGCATTATGGACATGAATCAGACGTATGGAGTGCTGGAGTTATTTTATACATTTTACTTAGTGGTGTTCCGCCTTTCTGGGCAGGTATCTTCTTGCTCGATTCATTTATCTATTTTTGGATTAGACACTAAAAAAACATAGAAAGTTTTTATGCTACCAATACCTAATACATTAACTGGGTTTTATGTTCTTCTTCCCCCAGAGACTGAGAAGGGAATTTTCCGCCAGATATTACGAGGAAAATTGGATTTTGAGTCTGAACCATGGCCTGGCATTTCAGATAGTGCCAAGGATTTGATTAGTAAAATGCTTGATAAGAATCCGAAGACAAGGTTAACAGCACATCAAGTTCTCTGTAAGTAACTTTCAAGAGCATAAGAATAAATGTGTCACGCCATTGAAACAAATTGTAGCTCTGCAACTTTATTGTAAAGATAATGACTTTTTACTTTCGTTTTTCTTATCAGGTCATCCATGGCTTGTTGATGACAAAATGGCCCCTGATAAGCCTCTCGATTCTGCAGTTTTATCTCGGCTAAAGCAATTTTCTGCAATGAACAAACTTAAGAAGATGGCTCTACGGGTTAGATTCTTATTATGAAAAAACTTCCTGGTTGAGTTTATATCCCGTGCATCATTTCCATTGAAATGTATAATGTATGCAAATAAAAATTATCACTATCTTGGCCGTGTTATGATCATGTTTTTGCTCAATTGAAGGTCATTGCGGAGAGACTATCAGAAGAAGAGATTGGCGGTCTCAAGGAGTTGTTCAAAATGATAGATACAGACAATAGTGGAACTATAACTTTCGATGAACTTAAAGAGGGTTTAAGACGAGTAGGCTCTGAGCTAATGGAGTCCGAAATTAAAGATCTCATGGATGCAGTAAGAACATTCTTCTTCGTGCATTTGAATTTTCTGCCTGTACAAATGCCTATTGCCATTTTTAGTCGACCAAGTCCTTTTTTGGTATTGGCAGGCGGACATTGACAATAGTGGAACAATAGATTATGGGGAGTTTCTTGCTGCTACAGTGCACTTGAACAAGTTAGAGAGAGAGGAGAATCTACTTTCAGCCTTTGCTTTCTTCGACAAAGATGGTAGTGGTTACATAACTATTGATGAGCTTCAACAAGCTTGCAAAGAATTCGGGTTGAGTGAATTTAACCTTGATGAGATGATTAGGGAGATCGATCAAGATAATGTAAGTTTCTAACTCGGTATATATCCTTTCTGAAATCTCGATTGCTATAGAATGAAGTAACTCTTCTGTGAACCAATATGAGTTGAAAGTAAGAACTCCAAGCGAAGTAGCCTTTGTCTTTGTTTTCATATCAAGAAGCCACAATTTGATGTACACGGACTTAGATACCAGTAGCCTCCTCTTTCTTTCTTTATCAGGAAGCCAAAAGTTACAAGCCCAGATTCATGAAAGAAAGCCTAAATGTTTATGCAAATTTTCGACCAAAAAATTTAATGTCAGCTTGTGTCCAGTTTCCTCATTTCATATCCCAGTTCGCATAGATTACACCTGTCTTTGATGACCATTATTTGGCAAAAACTTTGTGAATAGTGAATTTTTGAAAAATGTGAAGTTAAAAAGAGGGAAAAGTTTTGAGTTTACGTATAGAATATTTTATTGTATGAATGTGTTGTTGAAAATGAGTATGTAGAATAAAGAATTTTGAAATAATAGTTGTCAAACATGGTGCATTATGTAAAAGCACTTTCGGTATCACCCTTGAAACCAAATTGCAAGGAAAGGGTGCTCAAAGTGCTAGTAAAGTATAAAACAGGCCTTTCAAAAATGACGGATACAATTAAATATTGATTTATTGCAGGATGGTCAGATCGACTATGGCGAATTCGCTACTATGATGAGAAAAGGAAATGGAGGAATTGGAAGGAGAACCATGAGGAAAACTATAAACATGGGAGAAGCCTTGGGATTACATGTTACTGAAAGTGGAGAATACAGCCAACAAACCTAATTGAATTGAATTCCATTCTAATTTTCGTTTTTTAATTTCGTCTAATTTGATTTTGTAAAGGTTCAATGTTCTATACAGAGGCTCTTCGCATCCTCTACCAATAATCTTTCCTTGATATGAAACTCAGTCGAGAGAAGCGGGGAGGCGGTCATGTTAAGTACGAACACATGTAATCTTTACCTATACATTCCAAATTCTACGAGGAATAATACACAATACTTATTTAAGAAATACACATGATGTTTTATGTCATGACTGTTGAATGTGTACATTATATTGTCTAGGAAAGCATTCTCAAAGCACACTTGTTTGCCTTTTTGGCACAACAATACACTTCTCCAAGATATGTAAATACTGGCTGTTTATAACTTACTGGATACAGCTAGGTATTTTGTATGACGCCCCTGAGCAATAATTTTCCCCGACTCTTTCTTTCTAAACTCGACGCTTACAACTGCAAAAGCCTTTCCAACACGTAATGCTTTTGATTCTATCTCAATTTCCTCCTGAACAATAGAAAGCCACAAATTAATACAATGGTTACATGTCAAGTTACAGAAAGGCAAGAAACCTTATGCATTTGGCCTTAAAGCAAAATCACAGAACTTGTGACTAAAAAGAAATCACAGTAAAAGAAGCATCAAAGAACTATATTGGAAGAAAAAGCTAAGAAAACAACACTCTTCTTAGGTCAATCATCAGTTTTCCATTTAGATATCAAGAGTTCACCAAACTGAAATGATAGCCCGATGGCTTCACCAGGACACTTATCACGATCATTACTTATAAACAAGAAAGAATATGGAAGGCAGGGTTCTTTGGAAAACACAGGACACATGCAAAAGAGAACAAAAGTGGACATAGGAAGACACATCACAGGGAGAAAGAAAGTCAAAAAGAGCTGGAACCCTCAGCAATTTTGCAACATCAAATTTTGTGCACCCTTGTTTTGAAACAAAATGCTCTGCCATTGAATATATCTGAAAGTTACAACTTCAACAGATTCATAGTTCTGGATCCTATTAAACACAACTTCCAGTTTGTAAAACCATTTTAGGGAAATAAATTAACTAAATCTAATGACGAAAGGACAATTAACAAATTCGACAATCAGCCTTAATTCTCTTGATTTTTTCATGCCCTGCATAATGGAAATTGGAAGATACAGAAAAAGTTTGCAGAAGACATTCTCTTTGATTTGTTTATGATCTATGAAGAGTTATAGCTACAGAAAATAGTTTAGTTATTAGATATCTTTGAACTCAAGGTATTAGTATTGGGAGTAGTATATTTCTCTCCCTTGTAATTCTGGAAGGTTAGATGTTCCCCTCCCTTGTATTAATTCTTTCTATTAATAAACAAGGTAGTGATCAATGCCAAACCCTCGTATATAAGCTAAATAGAAGTATAAAACCCCACATTTAGACATAGGTAGAAAAATGTAAGCAAAGGTAATCCATTTTGATTCCGAAATACTCACAATTCACATTCCTAAGGAGCAAACTTGATTCAGTGAACTGACGTTGGAACATGAACAAAAAAACTCATAAATGGGGATCTCAAGCAATATTTAGGCCCCGTTTGGTACGGATTATCCAATTCTACAGTAAATCAAAAAAAACCTCATAAATGGGGATCTCAAGCAATATTAAGGCCCCGTTTGGTACGGATTCTCCAATTCTACAGTAAATCAATTCTCATTTTCAACCACACATTCTTCAATAAAATAATATTTTCCATCACATCAATAATCTTATCTTCTTTTTCAACCACACATTTCCCATCATATCACTATTCAAAATCAATTCTTCCCCAAAAATACCCCTACCAAACAAGCTCTTAATCAAATTTCGCATACCTACGTGGAAACAATGAGATAAAAAAGAGAAGAAAAGCAAGAATATGGGTGGCACAAAAGCATCGTGAACGGAGTACTTTCAGGAAGACGAGCATCAACATTACAATTCAAAGAGAGCATTTTAAGTTCATTGGTTCACTTGTCAAGCCCACAAATCAGCAATTCTGGATGAATTCATTTCAAAGGAAGCACCATTATAAGGTTTTTTTTTTTGTAAGTAATCAAATATTTTATTAATCAAAGGATAATAAACAGGAAGCGTGTTATCAATTTAAACAAGAAAGAAACAACATGACATTGAGCAGCCCATCTATATGACTAGTAGCCACAACATTAAACCAAATATACAACATCAAATAAAATAATTCTCTAATCTACTCTTGTTTCCGTGTTTGATCATCAAAATAGTGGTTGTTTCTTCCTCTCCACACGCACCATACAATGCAACCTGGAATAATGTCCCTGTCCTTATCATAGAACTTTCTGAAACACATCTTCCATACGCCTCGACAACACCCAATCGATGTGTCGAGAAGCCAAAATATCATTCCACGGCAAACGAGCACCATCACAATGAAGGAACAAGTGATCAATCGTTTCCCCATCTCTCCTACGTATATAACGCCAGTCTGTAACATAAAAACCCCTCATTCGAAGATTATCCACTGTTATCATTGGTCCCCTTACAACCGTTTATAGTAAAAATGCCACACGTGGACGCAGTTTACATTGTCATACCATCTCCACAGGTCACAATAAGGATCTAAGATAAGTGCCAACTGAGAAAATGTCATCCTGTGCCAATCACCCTCTCCTACACTGATGTAAACCTCATACAAAGAGGTCAAAAGCAGCGCATAATCATCCAATTCCCAATCATGCAAATCCCTCCAAAAAAACAATGTTCCAGCTAAGACTCATGTTATGTATATCTAAGACATCTTTCACTATAGCAGAGTACAAAAGCAATACGATACGAAAAAGGAAATCCTACCCTTAGCGGTTGATCTCCACACCAACAATCATCTAAAAAGCTAATAGTATTACAATTCCCAACCACAAAAGTCAATCTATCCCGAAAGTCTCTTTACCCTCGTCGGATATACTGCCACAAACTCACCCTACAAGAACCACAACCCTCAACTAAGCATCATCCCCCTTTATAACACCATATTTTGCCCCTATAATTTCTCTCCAAAAACTCTCTCTCTCCACTCCGAATCGCCACAACCACTTACCCAACAAGACCTTATTAAACAATACAAAGCTCTCCAATCCGTGACCCCCCAACCTTATAGGAGAACAAACGGCACCCAATTAACCAAATGAAATTTCCTTTCCTTCCCTAACCCTCTCCAAAGAAACTCCTTTTAAATCCTTTCTAATCTTTTTGCCACTACAAAAGGAATAGGAAAGAATGACAATAAATAAGTAGAGTGATTCGAGAGAGTGGATTTAACGAGAGTAAGACGACCTCCCTTTTAGAGGTACATACGCTTCCAACCTGCTAACCTGTTCTCCAACCTTTCCACAATGTTCCAATTATGTATACTTTTAAACCATGCTCCTAATGGGAGCGCAAGATATGACTTAGGCAATTGTACAACCCTACAACCCAATATAGCAACCAACTCCTTCACATTATCGACCTCTCCCATTGTGATAGCCTCAAATTTCTACAGATATATCTTCAATCTAGATAAAACTTCAAAGCACAAAAGCAAACGACGCAAGTTCATGAATTGCTCAAACATTTGCATCACAGAAGATCCGCGTATCATCTGCAAATAACAAATGAGATACCTGCAATTGATCAATCATAAAGCTTCTTAGCAAACTCTCCCTCACAGCCTTCTCAAACATCCTACTAAAAGCCTCTATAACAATAACAAACAACAATGGAGACAAATGATCACTTTGCCTCAAACCTTTGCTACACTTGGAATAACCTTCAGGAGTGCCGTTCACCAAAACTCAAAAAGAAACAGTAGAGATACAAAACTGAATCCACTAGCACCACTTATCCCCAAAACCACATCGCCTGAGCATATACAAAAGTAATCCCCAGTTCACGTGATCATAAGCCTTCTGAATATCAAGCTTACAAAACATCCCACAAGCCCCTAGGTGCAGTCTCGAGTCAATGCATTCATTTACTATAAATATGGAATCCAATATCTAGCGCCCACAAAGCATTCCAAACTTAGATACCACTTTTCCCACCACCTCCTTTAATCTATTTACAATAACCTATGCAATAATCTTGTACACCCCACTTACTAAACTAATAGGACGAAAGTCCTTAATATCCATCTCTTTCGGTTTTTTTGGAATTAGCACAATAAATATAACATTACAACTTCTCAAGAACCTGCTACACTGAAAGAAATAAGGACATCCACAATGTTCGATGACACCACATCCCAACAAACCTTATAGAACGAGAAAGAGGATCGTCGAGTCCAAGGGTCTTATCGTCATTCATACTAAACACCACCTCCATAATCTCATCCTCCTCAAATGGTCTTTCTAATCAACCGGCATCTTCCTCAATAATTGTAGAAAAATCTAGCCCCTTCAACTTTGGCCTCCAGTCAAACTGCTCCAGATAAAGATTTTGATAGAAACTCACCATTTTGGGTCCTAATATCTTGTGGGTCCTCATAAGTAACCTCATCTACCTCCAACATAGCGATACAATTGTTGCACCTATTGAAATTAGCGACCATATGGAAAAATTGGGTACATTCGTCCCCCTCTTTCAACCACTTGACCCTAGATTTTTAGCACCAAACAATCTCCTCCATCTCCACCAACCTCTCCAACTCTCCCCTTAATTCTCCACGTCTCTCCCTCTCATCCCCTACCAATCCTCGACTCTCCACCCTCCAATCCAACTCTTCTATATCTGAAACGCATTTATTTTTAAGCCAATTAACATCTCCCACCACCTCCTCATTCCACCTCTTTAGATCCCCTTTCAAGGCCTTCAGTTTCTAATCCAACACATAACTAGGAGACCCCTGAAATCTCGCTATCCAAAACTTTCTACTTTTAGCCGCATCTTCTCAAATATAGAATGTCTTCTTCCACTATACCTCACGTTTCCAGATAACGAAATAGGGAAATGATCTGAATACCCTCTCCAATCTCCTTTGAATGACCTCTGCGTACTTTGCCCCCCACTCCCCGCTAACCAAAAACCAATCTATTCGAGATAGAACAGGTTGATCCCGATTAGATGACCAACTAACATCTCCCCCATCATAGGCAGGACCACCAACATATTCTCCTTGATAAAATCTGAAAAGTCCTCCATAGCTCCTGTTAATCTCCCACCACTAGACCTCTTAGTAGGAAATCAAAACACATTAAAATCACCCCCAATACACGATGGGAGGTTCCAAATACCTAAGGATAGTCTAATAATTATAGTTCTTGTTAACACAGTCGTGGAGCCTTGAAACTAACCACAACATTGTCAAACAAAACAGAGAACCATGAAGTGTGAAAAAAACTAATAATAAATAAATCGAATTAGCATAATATTTCATCTGTAACCAAAAGCAAAAGTGAAAAAACAAGAAAACAGCGATGTTGTAAGCGCACTTACACCAGCATATGCAGCATCCAAATAGGAAACGTTGATCTCGACCGATACTCCGGTGGTCGGAGCACCCATAGTGTATATTACAGCCGATCCAACAATGTCGACCAACGCCGCCGTCGCCCCACCATGCAATGAATTCCCAGAATTCTTCAATTCACAGAAAAAAAAAAGAAAAGTTACTTTATAAAAACAACAAATGTCCAGGGGTTAATTTTCAGAAATAGAATCGAAAATGAAAAATCAAACCAGGAGGCGATCTGGGACGGTGAGAGAGCAAAGGATACGGCCGGGTTCAATGTGGTGGATTTTGAGGCCTTGCATAACCATTGGCTCTATGAAATTTGGGGGCATTGAATCAACTGTTGATTCATAATCGCCTCCTTCTTTCTCCACGAATCTCTTTACATGCTCCAAATCCATTTTGCTGAATTTGCTGTTTGTCTGAGCAGTGCGGTCCTTGTTCGTCTCTACAGATAAAAGGGAAATTGAAGCATTAGACCCCTACCTATACACTGTGTCAAGTTCGTCCCCAACGTATGTTTTATTAGTAGAATAGTCCCCAACCTATATATTTCGTTACACATTTGATCACTTCTAGGGATGTCACCAAGTCGAGCCGAAACTTTTTGCTTGGGCTCGACTCGAGTAAAAATATTTTGAGCTTTTTTTGGCCCGAGCCGAGCAATAGCTAGGCCAAAAAATTTAGGCTCAACCCGAGTTTTCAGCTCGGGCCGGGTTCGAGCCGACTGGATTTTTTTTTTTTAAATTCGTGATAAATCTAAATTTTTTTTAAAGAATTTAAAATTTGTGCAATTTATACCTATTATAAATAATAACTAAATATTAACATATAAAAAAATTACAACTAAAATGAAATGAAAAAAAAAAGTGGCAGGCAAGTTTTTTTTTTTTTTAGGCTCACGAGCCGGCCCCGCTCTAGCCGACACCCCAAAATGGGGCTCGGCCCGATCCTCGGCTCGACCCCACCAAGCCACGAGCAGGCTCGAATCAAGTTTTTTCCACCATTTTGCCATCCCTAGTCACTTCTGTCCATTTCATTGTTAAAAGGGAAAACAACTTTTTTTTTATCTTCTTCGAAGGTTTGTTAATTCAATAATAACAAAGAACGATCGAGTTCATTAAAATGTTGAAATACTTCAATGCTAAAAATAATTTTAATGTACAAAAAACCCTAAAATGATCATACTTAAGACAAGTGAATATTACTTTTGCGCTTGGGGTACTCAACCGTGCATCATTCCCACCATATTCGAACCCGTGATGATAGCACTTGCAGCATCTCGTACAAAGGTGAAAGATGTTTAACATTGAAATAATTCAATGCTAAAAATAATCCCTGCATACGTAAAAGACCTAAAATGACCATACTAATTACTTCAATCATGCTACATTACATTTTTTTTTTTACATTGTGCCAGCGACAACACGCCATTGGACAATTTAAAAACAAAAAACAATTTCTTAACTAATCAAATCTTGCCAACAAGAATGATGTCATGCAAGATGTACAAGTGGCTTTATCCTACTTAATTACTTAGACAAGTGAATATTACTTTTATGCTTGGTGTACTCCGCCATGCATCATTCCCACCAGGTTGGAAAGGATTCACCCTCAAAACCGGACCTGTGACGACAGCACGTGCAGCATCCTCGTACCAAAGTGAAAGATGTTTCACGGTAAAGACATCCGAAGTGAGGAAGAGGAAGCTTCAAGCAGTAAGCATTAGGATTTATCTTCTCAAGTACTTCTATAGTGCCGATCATGCGGACTACTAGCTTATTGTGATCTTGACAGCCCAAACAGAGCCACTAATCTCGAATTCCAAATGACGCCAAAGCTGGCCATTTACTTTTTTATACTTGATGGTCATCTCCAACTAGCAGCCATGTGTAAGCTCATGAATCTGTTGGAAATTGGAGATGAAATCAGAAGTAATACCCTGGATCTTAGAATGATCAGGCAATTGAATAAGATCAATAAGTGCCAAAGAAATCACATTTTAGACGACTTGGAATTGAATGAAGCTTGTGCTTCTATCTACCGCAAGGATATGTGCAAATTCAGCTGCTAACTTTCCCGTGCCTTGACTTTCAAATATCATCGACTAGGCTGCACAAGAAATAGCCCAGTAATAAGCTAACCACCTCAGTTTTACCATTCGTTTGGGGATGATCCAAAAAATGACCTACACAAGTATCATAATCTGACACAATAGGTAATGGTAAACCATATAAGCGATAAACCTCGCAAAAGAATAATTTTGCCATGAATACAGCATTCGTAGTTCTCTTACATGGAACAAAATGGACCATCTTTTAAAACAACTCACCACCACAATTATAGAGTCGTGTCCCTTTTGTGCCTGCGGTAAGCCGATAATGAAATATGTTCTCAAGTCAGTCCAAGTTTGTGTGGGAATAGGTAATGGAAGAGATATCCTGACATTTGAAGCGCAATCTTTTACAACCTGACAAACAAGCATCGGTTCACGTGCGTGCAATGAAAGCTAATAAAATAAGTGAGAGGCGAGGGCAAACATCCAGGCTTTATCAACAATGCCTTCATGGTGTATCTTGTAACATCCCAAATTCTAGGAATTCGAAGCATTAAAAGTCTTCTTGATTTGAGCTCTTTAATGTTAACCAAAATAAAATTTAAATGATAAAAGTTTTGGAATCTGAATCATATACGAAGAAGTAATGGAAAATTTTTGTTCATATAGACTTGGACAATTTGGTGAAATTTTATTTTGGAAAACATTTGGAGGAAATTCAGAAAAATACCGATTGCGCAGCAGCGGAAAGGAAGATATGTTTGGCCTAGCAAACGTTGATGAAAATTTATGAAATTTTAACAGAGACTATAAAAATCATATATGTACAACATATAAAAATTTGGGGTCTTGAAGAAAACGTTTGAAGCATGAAAATACTGCACGACTATACTGGACAGAAAATCCGAAACAGAGCCAATGCAGTTTAGTAAAACGGACATAACTTTTTCCCTAGATACTATTTTAAGGTAATTCCAAATACCACTATTAGGAGACTCATAGGCTTTTCAAACCCCACTGATTTCACTCTAAAACATGTACTGTAGCCCAAGTTATACCATTTTCAAATTGAATGGCAGAATCTGAAATTCAATTCAACAGTAAATAAACTTCATACATTGTCAATTCAACATTTGTAAATTATAGTTGATATGCAAGGTACATATAACTCGACGGGATAAACATTAAAAACATTGTTAAGAGTGTCATATAAGCATGTTGGAGATATTACACCGATAATGTGCATATTATATTCAAATCAATACGTACATTTTTATGCTCATGAAATCGAAATAGAATTCGACTTACCAAAATGGAATTTGAGAAGACAAGCAATAATTATCGAAGTCGAACACGTGTCGACGGATTCAATTCGTTTCATTCTTTATTTCAAACCTTGCATGAAATCAAAAGAATATTGATTACTTTCTGAAATCAAAATACTAAATTAGAATGAAATCAGAAAGAAGAAAGAGGAGATGCAAGTGATGCTATTA